GTTAAGTTTTTGCTTGATGGCGATTGACTGTTTGCTCGTTTAGTTTTTATTATGGCTCAGCCCAGAAGGGAGTGATTTGGTCTCTTCATCATGAGGGTTCAGCTTCCTGATGAGTCGGTGCAATTCCGACGAAACAATCTTGTCATCATCGGTTTTTTATTATTTATTTTTTTCAGTCCTTGAAAAAAGTTTCGGGACTTTGGTGTCCTTGCGTATCGTCTGCTTGACATGCTTGTATGTTATCTGTTGTGTGCCATCAGCTCGATATACTGGTGTGTTGTCTGCTTGGTATACTTTGTGTTTATGTGCCCTCCCACCTCCCTCGTGCCCTCCACCCACTGTCCTTTGCTGCTGTTTGACGTCCTATGCCCTGATGCCTCATGTCTTTGCTGCTGGTTGTTGTCCTATGCCTTGTCGCCTCATGTCTTCGCTGCTGCTGTTTGTCGTCCTTTGCCTTGTTGCCTCATGCTTTGCTGCTGGTTATCATTCTATGCCTTGACGCTTTACATCGTTCCCCCTTCAGTGCCTTGTGTGTCGTCCTCCCGCCTCCCCCGTGTCCTCCAGCCTGTGTCCTTTGCTGCTGCTTGTCATTCTTATATGCCTTCTCACCTCATGTCTTTCCCTTAGTACCTTGTGTGTCGTTTGGTCTCCCGCCTTCCCTTGTGCCCTCTGGCCTATGTGTTGCCTTCGTACTCATGTCTTGCTGTTTTGCCTGTTGTTCCTTGGTGGTTGTTTTTTTTGTTGTTTTGAGAATGGTCTTGCTAGCCTATGTCCGTAGTACATCACCCAGCGGGCTTCTATTGCTACTCCCCACGATGAGGAGCATAAGTCCGGATGCAAGTATTAGCCTGTGGTCTGAACGGTCGTATCACAGCTTGCTGTGGGGTTCTTGGTGTTTTGTGCCATGGGTAACGTATCGTAACACACACACACACACACACACACACAAACACACGTGTAGTAGGTATATTTCCATGTCCTCGTGCAAGATTCATTCAATTTTGCTCATCTATCGATGCAATCGATGCAATCGATGCAATCGATGCAAGTAGCGTGAGGCCAGCCCAGGGGTTGGACACTTACCTGTTCGACGATGCGTATCTCATCCAATCTCTCTCTCTCTCTCTCTCTCTCTCTCTCTCTCTCTCTCTCTCTCTC